AATATGTCTAAAATATTTGAAATAATGTTTTACTATTAGGGTACTAACATTTATTACATAATTATTAGTAATTGTTCAAATACAGCACAATTTATTTGTCAACACTTTACTTGTACTACTAATATTAATGGAATTTACTTTTTAAATTCTTGTAAAGGATACGCACTCTTTCCTGCAAATACTCCTAAAAGTACATGTACTTTCACTATTGACGCCTACAGAACCTTCAAAATTCATTTCAAAAAGAAAAGAGAATCACTGTCAAAAATCGTCTCTAAGATTCCCTGATGAACTATTTCATATTACATCCTTATTTTATAACAATTCTACTCTTTCTTACCTGCAGCTCGCACACTTTACGATAATATCATTGATCTTATTCTTCTATTATCTTCTTACTCAATCCAATTCAAATCTATCCAATCTGTAGTCATTGGTGCCAGTCCCTTAGTTTTCTACACAGATGGTTCACTCGATAATGTTCGTTCAGAAAACTGCAAAATGGTCTAGGTTGGATTTGTATAGATAGTCAAACTCATTATCATAGTTTTTTCGCTACATTATCACATTGGCCATCATTGACCAGAGCTGAAATTTACGCTTTTCTCACTACTATCCTTATTACTTCTCAATCATCTACATTGAATATATACACTAATAGCCTTGTTCTCATTTATGGCTTTCATTCTTACATAGTCGATTCCAGACTTTCCAATAGAAAAATGAAACAGATTTCCAACTATACTCTTTGGAATCTTATCCAGTATACACATACAGTCATACCTCTCTATAGCGAATTTTTATATAACGAATTTTTTGGACAACTATATTAAATTTACTCTTGTTATAACGAACTAGCCAATCAAATTCTTTAAAAAATTCACTATAGCTCTATAGCGAAGTTGAAGTTCAGGACATAAAATTCGTTATATCAAGGGTTGACTGTAAAGTGCTCAACTTACGCATTAATCTTTTTAAGGTCAAGTCACACATTGGAGATATCCTAAATGATCAAGCTGATATACTAGCAAAAAATGGAAAGTACTTACCTCTAATCTCTTCTAACCTCATTGGTATTAGCTTGAGAAATCTTATTCCACTATTTAATAATATTCCTATAAAATCATCTATAAGGAAGTTTTTTAAGGATTTCTTTTCCACTAATACTTTTGGCGCTTTCCTGATGCTTTCTCATAATGAAACAATTAGACTTTTAACTATCAACTCATCTATTGATTGGATCGCTACATGAAAATTTCTTTATTAGATTCCTCTTCACTCGTTACATTATTTATTTCTACCAGATTAAAGACCTTTATCTTTGAAAATTTATTAGGTGAACTTTCTGTTACAGCTAAATTTGTTCTGCTTCTCCCTGTCCTATACAAAGATTGGAAATGTGTTAGCTATAATGATAATACAGAAACTACTTCACATTTATGGTGTTGCTTAGCCTACAAATCAAAAATCATTACAATTATTCTTTCTGCCAGAATTTTGTTGTTCCAACTTCTTGAAGACTACTCTTGTAGTTCTTCTGTAACCTTTGAAATTAATTCAGTTTTCAATCAAGCATTTAATATCTTTTCAGACACTGGTCTTATTCATATTATGAATACATTAATTCTAAACTCTCTAATATCTGTCATTCACAAAGCTACACAAAGTAGATACAAAGCCATCAAAATCATCTCACAACTATTTTTGTTCTTCTTTCAAAAAATGTATGAAGATGTTTAGAAATCTCGTTGCAATCTTATGATTGCTAAAGAAAAACGCTTGGGTATATCTTCAAAAGACAAACATTTACACAGTGTCAGTAAATCTTTGGATCACACTAATAATCATCATGATTCTAACATGTGCAAAACCTGGATATACCTTTCGATCAAATATGGCAACAAATTTTTGGATTTTTAGATAGGTACTGACTTTCTCTTTTTCTTTTTTTTATAATAACAGTAGTCATTAGATATGTATTTAGTGTGTCTGTTGGAAGGGAAAGACGATGATAGGTTTGTAATATAATCATATAGAATAGCTAGTACTTATATATAGATTTTTAAGATTTACTCTTTTGTATTTTGTATAAATTTAATAAAGTTATTGGCAGTGTCACATTGTAAAAAAATATATATATATAACACAAAGCGATCTTGTAGATCGATTTTTTGTTGATCTACTGATCTGATTTTGATAAATTTTAGCTTGTTAGAATCGCCGCACTGAGAAGAATCAGAATTCAGTATTGGTTTTTGGTAGTCGGCCTACTGAAAAAATTTTCTACACTTAAATTTCATTAAGTAAGAATTTTTGATGTAGATCGCTAAATTGCGCAATATTGGTCTTAATAATCGCACTTCAAATGTTTATTGAATATTAGCTAGGCTTTGAGCTTTAAAACAAATATAGAACTATGTTTCTAGCATTCGTGGTTGGTGAGTTATAAGCTTTTAAAGGAAAGCAACTCTACTTGTATTTCTTTTATAAGCCACTGTATAATTATGTAATTTGCATTTTAAAATATATTTTTCAAAAACAAAAAAGTTATTTATTTTTGGTAAACTTATTTTAATAATTATGAATAACAACTAAATTTTATTTTTTAGGAGAATTGCCATTTGTTTAGTTATTTATTTATTGTTATTTTCTGAATGCTAGGACATCATTTAAATGCCAAGAAATTTCACTACCTTAGGCTTAATACCCTTTACTCTTGTAAGGGATTGAACTATATTTATGCTATATTAATATATTAATCAGCTTTATTCAAACCTTTAAATACTTAAATTACACTTTTATAAATCAGTTGTATGGTTGGAGCTCTTCTTTTGAGAATATTTATAACATCAGACAAACTTGAAATTACCTTAAAAAAGGTAATGAATTTATTAAAAACAATCTTATTTTTATATGCTTTTTATAAATAAGTATCTCAAGTTAAATTAAAGGTCTTTCTTATTAATGATTCAAATGAAAATACAATGCTCTTGAGCTCTGTTAGCTAAATGAAATATCTATTGTATATATTTCATATATTATAAGCATTTTAGCAGTAGTTATATGATTCTAAGCATCATATCAAAAAAAGGAAAACCAGATACCTATTATAAAAATAAAGGAAAAAGGTTATGTATCATTAGTTTCAAATATGAATGCATGCTATAATGAATTAAAGCAAAGTTTTTATTATCTTTATCCTCAACTACAAAGGCATTTTGAGCTTTTCTAGAAATATTATCATTTCTGGGTTTTATCTTTTCACTCTGAATTACTTATATGTGGCAATAATACAAACAATTATGTTGAACAAAGTTTTAGTATTTTGAAGAATATTATTTTTGCTAGAATGCAAGCATACAACTCTATGCAAATATTTCAATTTGTAATTTCAAATATAAAAAGATTTTATGAAAGACATTTACTTAGTTTTGCAAATCGATATCCTAGTAGTTTACAAATTGCAAAACAGTTTTTGTGTCCCAATTGGGATAAAGTAGATGCAAATTCTATCCAAAAAACAAGTGTAGAATATGAATATTTGATACCAATACTGCATCTTCTATCTTGTTAAGAGTGATATTGGAATATGCAATTGTTCAATTGGTATAAATATAGCACCTTGTACCAAAGGCAGTTGCAATAAAATTTCATTTCAACATTCAATTTTCTTTTATCACTAACGCCTAGTAATTGTATAACCTATACTTATATTGCACTTGGTAAGTTAATATTTACTATTTAATTTATTTGATTTAATTAATAGATTAATAAACTTTTAGGCTATATGGCCAAGGATACTTCACACAATTATGAAGATTTATACAAAGAATCATCTGAAGTAATGAATGAAAATGCTTCAATTATCAATTGAAGGTTTGTATTTCCATATAACTGTAATATTACTTTATATTTCGTAGTCTTATAATAATTTGTCTTTAGAAAAAAAAAACTTAATAGAGAACCAAATGAGAATCATACAGGAACTAATATTTCTGTATTTTTTAGAGGAGGTTAAAATGGATTATCAAAATGGAAACTCCCAATTATGTGCTGCATTAGCAAGTTGCAGAGCGATATCATGCAGCAAAATCCAAATCTATTCCTCAATGACCTAAATCGTAATGTAGATCCAACTGTTAATATTAAAAGCGGTGCTATGATTCGTGTGCAAGTTGAATCTATTAAGCAACGTAAAACACAAGAATCTGGTAGAAAGCGAAAACAACCACCGAAAATAAAGAAATTTCGATCCTCATATTATTCCTAGTCGAAAAATAAGAAAAATTGGTAAAAAGGAACACAACTTGAGTAAAAATATATCAAAAAATCAACCAAATTAAAGGGTAATTATTTTTATTATGTTTATTATTCTCAAAAAGCAGCATTTGGTAACTTCGTTTAATGCATTCTTTTTTAATATTTAGGATTCAGAAAAATTCGGAGTTTAACATTTTTTACATTTTTTTTTTAATAAATTGAAAAAGACTCGTAGAATTTTAAAGTTTAGAATAAAACAAAAAGTGTGATTTATGTAAAGTGTTACATTAGTATAAAAAGTGTAAAAAGCGTTACAAAAGTTTCGTTAGAACAAAAAAAAAACTTTAGTAAAAAACGCGTTGATTTGTGCTGAGTCACATATGCGCTACATGATACTCTTAACCTGACACACATTTTTAAATGTCAATCAAGTGACCTAAGAAATCAAACGATACTTTGTAAAATGAAAATAGGATGGTGTGACGTGGAGTGATAAATAAATTATAGTTGCTTTCTTTTGTGAGCTACTGTATTATATATATATATAGTACAAAGATATAATTTTTATTTAATGTATTTTTTCGAATATTTGTCAATCATATAAAATAATTTGAATATATTAAATAAAGTTCGAAAAGGGTTTTTATTCTAAAAAAAGACGATTTCACATATTATTAAACAAGTCAAAAAAATCAAATTTTTTTTTATCATAAAGAACAAAATTTTAAGAAACTTTTTTTTTATGACAACAAAGGAGCATTTTCATCTGATTCACCACGGTAGTATTTAAGAACGATAGGTTTTAAGATGTAAAATGAAGTGCAAACAGCAAAAACAAGCGCGGCCCAATGAATAACTGGATCCGCCTGAGCAACGAAGATTCCGTATAAAGTCCAAGCAATTACAACAGCACCAGTAATATCGCCCTTTGCTCCTTCGATGTAACCAACAGAAGTAGATGAAAGAACAAATAATCCAAAAACAACCAATGTTTTAACCAAAATTGATGCATCATCTTCATCCTTATCAGGTAAGAAGGCAGCAAAAGTACTAATAACAGTAATTACGAAAATCCATGCATGATAAAGAGAGAATGGTGCGTGAATAAAGATTTTTTCTTTAAAACTGCCTCCGGGATAATTATATTTGATAGTATAATAAACGTATGAAACTTGTGAAGAAGTAAAAAGAATAGTAATCCATGCAAGGATAAGATGATCGCCTTGCTATATATAGTTATTTATATAATAATGTAAGAAAAATGTAGTGTGCCACGTTTGAATTACATGAAGGTGGCTCTGTAAAATACTTACCCAGAGAGCAAGCCATAAAGTGTTCAACAAGGAAATACCAACAAAGTGCCAATGAATGCCATCTTCAACGAGTTCTTGATTAGAGCTAAAAAATTGATAGATAACTACATACATTGGTAAAGGGAAAATTCGTTAAATTCCTTATCAAAATATAAAAAGGACAAATAAATTATATAATTATATTTACCGAAACCACCTAGCAAGAAATGAATGAGACCCCAAACACCAAACACAAAAGGAGCTGGAGAAATATAGGTTGGGTGTTTTTCACGGTATGGGGAATCACCCTATTTTATTAGGAATAATAAACGTAAGCCCATTTCTCATTCCTTCAATAATAATTTTCTGAAAAAAAAAAAAAAAAAAAAAAAAAAAAAAACCTTTTCAGGACCAAAGCCGGAGTATAAATTGGCTCCAAAAAGAAAAACATAAGCCAATACGTTTGCAATTTTGATTAAAGTTGGAAAGCGAGCCATGTCCAAATATTCTTTCGTTTAAAATATAGAATAATTTACAAAATGCTAATTATTTACAAGGACGAAGAAAAAAAAGAGATTTCTTTTTGGGGTAAACTGTAGGGGGAAGGTAATGATGCTTATTATATAGAATGATTATGATTATCTCAGTTAAAACTACTCGCAACGCCAAAGTACGACAATTTTGCATAATAGTACAACTTCTTGTTTTAGCTTATTTTACATAATTGCAATTCGTTGTACAAAAGTAAGTAACGTTGTAAAAATTGCTTAGCCCTCCTCCCCTCAGTATCCGAATTATTTATCGGAAAATTTTCTGATCAGACTGATTGATATTTATAAATTTACAATAAGAAATTATTTATAATCATTTGTTACTTAATTTATTTTAAAAAAAACTAATCCGATTAATTTTTTTTTACTTGGGAAATAGTTCTGTAATCTTTCAATTCTTTTGGCGGGAAAATCTTCGAAAATACAAAAGACGCCATCACACAAATATTTATGCTTATTTTTGAACAATATAAATTAGGTAAATCTTTCTTGCTGTGTAAACTGTAGGGTCAATCACTCCCTTTTTTTATTAAAAAAAAAATGGTTTCAAATAACTTAAAGCTTTCTTTGTTTATCTGCAGATTTCCAAGAAAAGATTATCGTAATTAAAATGAACTAACTTTTTTGAGGTTAATTATCTACATACAAATACTCATTTAGCCATAATACCCATAAATTGCATCAGTAAATAATTATTTGTGATTTCAACCATCCTTAAATTGTTTAATGATTACACATTACAGCATAAATCACTTTGATCATAACTCGTTGCTGCGTAATCTGACTTCCAAAGATATCAAATTATTGCAGTCAGATTTAACATTAACAAAAAAAATTATATTTAAAGAGAACCACTATATATTAATCAAAAACCAAAAATCTCCTTAGAAATTAAATAAGTATTAAAGAAAAGAAAACAATTAGTGAAAATTCTGAATCTTCTTTCTGATTATTTTAATATTAGTTATCAGAACTTAGTAAGAATGAACCATTTGTCTTTTTCTAACAAACCTGATTGTTACCATATATGTTGTTCATCTTAATTGGAAAAGCAAAGAAAAATAAAGAGATAAAAAAGGAACTTACTGTTTTAAAGCAAGAAATTGTTAATCTTAAATACTGTTAATAGTAATTCTTTGATATTTATAAATGGAGTTTTAAGGTAAGTAGAAGGTATTGTGTTTATTGTTTTATTAATTTAATTAATAATAATCTTAATTCTAATCTAATATAACATAGATATCATATTGCCTGTAATGTTAACGCTCTATATAATCAGGTATGTTTATTAATTATATCTTTCAAAGTTATTATAATAAAAATATAAAAGAGAAATAATGGATAACAATGTTTTCGTGTTTAGGGAATTATCAGCCTTTTTAAGAATTAAATGATTTGTTTATTATTGTGAATATGAATTATATTAATTGTTGTAATTATTAAACTTTATTAAAGAAAAATTCAACCATTTATATACATAAATTTTAACAGAACATTTTTATTTAGGAAAATGATTTGGCCAATAGACAATTATAGCTAGTGAATAATATTAGCCCAAATAATCTTTATTGCGTTAACTTAATGATCACTAGTTAAATTTCTTATACATGTAATAAAATAATAATAAAAAAAATAATAAATGCTTGTAGATGCAAAATAATAATAATAATAATAAAATAATAAATGCTAAATGTCAACTATAATAACAAGACTATCTATTTTAAATATTCTGCATTGCTTATTTCTCCTTCTTTATAATAATATATATTTATTAATATAACAATACTAAGAATTTGCTTTTTAAGTATGAAATGAAAGAATAGAATTAGAACAATTAATTAATAATACTAAATTTAAAGCTAAAAACTTTTAAAAAAAAATAATTGATTTAATATTTAAAATATAAAAGCAATTTAGTAAGAATAAGCAAAATAATAATCTATTAATTCAAATTTATTTAGAAGAATAATAGTTATTTATCTAACCAAATATTTTAGAGGTAATCATATTAAATAGAAATTACAAATACTTTTAAATTAGAGGAAAAATTGTCTAACTTAAAATTTAATGAGTAACAAATCTAGATGTAATAGTCTTAATTATCTTTTACCCTAACAAATAATTTCTAAAAAATAAAAAATCAAAGAAAAAATCATTTTATTGTTTTGTTTTTTCTAAAACTCATTATTTTTTTTTGATATTTTGCATAAATTTTAAAGATTTTACTTGTTTTTCTCTTTTCTGATACTTTTTTTATTGGTCAATTAAATAATAACAATTTTTTATAAAAATAAAAATCTTTAATATATTACTAAAAACCTTTAAATAGTAGTAAAAATCCTAGCTTAAAAAACTTTGCAAAGAAATGTTGAAAGGAGCAAAAAAATTTATTAAAAAGTTTAAGCAAACCATATAAATAATTTTAAACAAAAATTTTTACAAATTTCCGTTGGTTTTTATAAATAAAAAAAATGTTATTATTAATTTTATATTTAAATGACTTTTTAATAACTTTTTAAATCAATAAATAAGTATTTTTAAAGTTCTAAAAAATTTATAACTATGTTATAAAAATTTTGTTTAACTTATTTCAAATCTAAGAATATATTTAATATATTCTTACATATAAAATATAATTTTAATTGACTTTTAAATACTTTAATCCTTTTAATTAATAACTATTATAAGAATTTAAATATTATTTACCAATAAAAACTATAAATTTATTACCTATCATTTATTTATTTAAGCATTGGTTTGTCAAATTCTACTTTCACATAAATATCTTCATCAGTTTTTTAAAAAAGTTATACTTGGTATACTACCATGATTATTTCTCTTAATCAATTTAAATTTGTTTAATCTTTATCTATTAATAAATAAATATTAATATTTATTTAAAGCAAAAAAATATCTTAAAAATCTTTCTTTTTGACAAGATTGTTGACTATTAAATAACAAATTAATTTTATCTAAAAAGAATACTTCTTTGACTTCTAACAATTACATAGATTAATAGGTAAATTAATATATATTCTTTTTATTCTCAGTAGATTATAAAAAAAAAAACATATTTACTTTTTTCAAAAAGTTCATTAGTTAATAAAGCTATTAAAATAATTTTATCTGAATTAAAAATACCTTAAAAATCAGATTATTATATTTTAATAGAATTCTAAAATTTAAGAGTATTATCTAAAACTATTTTACCTTTATTTTTAATAAGAGTATAAAATGCAATTCTAGTTAAAAAGATAAACATATTAAAAAAACTAAAAACCTCTCTGATTTTGCTTATTTAAACAAATAATTCACAAAAAATTAATATTAAAATTATATTTAGTAAACCAATCTTTTTATATTGAATTTTTAATTTTAAGTTAAATAGGTTTAATGGTAATTGTTAACATGTAATATTTACTAAACTTGCAGTTTCTTTACTAGCAAAAGATTAAAAATTTTTTTTTTGATTTGTTTTAATTTAATTTGAACCTTATTTTAGTTAAATTTACTTTTAAAACTGATTAATAGTTAGCAAGTTTACTCATCAGTTTTTCTTTTAACTTTTTTATTTAGTTTTAATTGTAATATTACAGTTCTATTTTTTACTACAAATTTCACAGCTGATTCATTAAGGTTTAATGATTGATTAGTAGATTCTTTTTTAGTCTTTTGCTTTTTTTCTTTTTGATTTCATTAATTTAGTTCTTTAAAAATTAAAGAATCAGTTTTTAAACCATATTTTTTAAGTTTTTTTTTGGATTTTGCTAAATCTTTTAAAGAAAAGTTAGCATATATATATTTACAGAAAATTATAATTCTCTCTATAAAAATATAGATAAATTACTGATTTTTGCTAAATGTTTTAACAAGATAATAACTTAAATACCAATCTCATATTATTCAAAAAATATCTTTCAGATCAGATTCTTTTTTAACTTTTATATAGTTTAGATATTAATTTGATTAGGCTACTTTAAAGAAATATTGAAAAAAATCAAAAAAAATAGTAATTTAAAAAAAAATTAGAAATGGAATAATTTCAATAATTTATAATAATTAATTATATATACTGAAAGCAAATATTAATACAAAAAAAAGGTTATATGAATTATTAATAAAGTTGTAGCTATTTTATTATTAGCTTTTATTTAATTTAGAATATAGCAATTCTTTAAATTAGTAGATGATTGATAATTTTCCTATAAGTTACTTATAAAGTTTTATGAAATGATAGATAAAATAAAAATGATAAGTAAATTAATTCTAATAATGCTCTTTTTTAGTATGATAAGTTATAAAATATACATATAATTTTAGTACTGATTCTTTAGTTTTTAGTTTTAGTAATTAATTCAATATACAGTGAACTCTTGATATAACGAATTCTAGGATCTGGATATCAACTTCATTATAAGCTTATAATGAATTTTTTAAAGAATTTAATTGGCTAGTTTACTATGATAAAGTAATTTTAATATATTTGATTTAAAAATTCGCTATATCAAGTGTTTGCTATATCAAGGTTTAACTGTACAGATTTCGATATCAGGATAGGCCGGATTATGAATAATTATTCTGCAAAAATTCTTGGATTGGAATTGGGGTTGTCAGGTATTCTCTAATTTTATTTTCTATTCCTTCCTGAGATTTATGTTGAATGTTTTTTCACACATCAGTACATTTTGTATATAGACTAACTTTTGGATACACAGAATTTCTTGTAATCACCATACTGTTATCTTACGATACTAACGACTAAAAATTAGTATTAACACAAGATTAATAAAGAATTTAACTTTAAGACTTTACAATGCGAGATTTATGGAGAGCTTCTGAAGGTTTATATGATCAAATGTATTGTTAGAGACAAAGGTGATTTATAAGTAAATGATAGAGTTTTATTAAATAGAATAATTATTACAAGTGTATTTGTTAGCATACAA